ATATTGAAGAGTATATATGGAATTTTGCTCAAAAAATAAACTCAAATAAATTGTATTTAATTATATGCAAAATTTTATAATTTAAAGTAATTAAAATTTATAAATATTCAAACTGTTTTAATTTTGTAGTGGTACATATACGCCCCCCAGTTCACTACGCCCATTAACCCCTAGGGAGTATACACATACTCGTATATGAGTATATTGTAATCATAATTAATTTTGCAACAAAGAATTTCTTTTCCATATGCCTAATTATAGAGGGCATTATTCTAATTACAATAGAAATATATGAAAATTTTACAATTGAAATATGTGAAAATAGTATGTGGAAGGTAGTTGGTTTGAAAGGATTAATAAAATATGAAAACATGTATGTCATCATCTTAAATCCTGATAATTTGATTGATTTTTCCTTAGATATTCCATCAATTTTATTTAAGACCAAAAAATAAATTAGTAAATTAATTTCAACATTATTGTCAATCTTTCTATGTTGATTAATTGTTGCTATAAACTTAATTTTGCATGTAGAATCACCAGTCTGTATTTTATATCCATTAGTAACTAGAACTAAAGATTATAATTTGGAGTTCACACTATGTATAAAATATTTTTAAATAAATATATGCAGTTCGGCCGACTTGATTTTATTAAAAACAAAAGAAAAAAAACATCAAGGCGTGAATTAAATTTTATTCTTCTTCAATTTCTTCTAATACAATTTTACAACATGTTGGTACACGGAATGTATGATTAGCAAATTGTATATCATTATTCTTTTCATTAATATCCCATGTTACTAATGTTACTTTTGTATAAAATTGTTCACATTTTGGTTTATAATTTCTTAATAATTGAATTTTATTTTTTTGAAAAAATATTGGTATTTCACCATTTCTTGTACAAATTTCTTGATGTATTTGTACTGTATCCGTTTTACTAATTGCAATATTACGATATTTTTTTGATGTATCATTACCTCCATATGGTATTGTAAATGAAGTTTCTGAATCACATAAATATTCTATATCATCTATTCCTTTTGGTAATAATTCACTATCATATTCTTCATTTAATGCATTTAATTTACCAAAATATTTTTGTATAGCTAAATCTAATTTATCGGTTGGATGTTGTTTAACACTTTTACAAAAAATACCACGCCAATGTTGACAATTATCAATACCATAATTATTTCTTTTTAATAATTTTGAACTTAATATAAAATTATTAATAAGAAATATTAAAAAATAAAATAAAAACATTGTAATTTTATTTAATTTTATAAAATGTAATGGCATATTTTTATTTTACTTAATTACAAAAAACAAAAAAAAAGTGATCTATGCAAGTTGAATTGGAACACTGAAAAAAATTTTAAATAATCATTTATTTTTATATTTGAATAAAATTTTTTTGTTAATGGTATAGTGAATTTGTAATTTGGTTTGGAAGATTTTGTGGTTGGAAAATTTTCTATTATATTATTGGGATCGAAGATCTAATTTTTGTTTTAGGACGTGATTATCTAATAAGTCTGTTATTGGAATTTATTGTTGAGAGAATATTTTGTTATGATATTATATAACAACAAATATTACAGTACGAACAATTTATATTTTAAGTCTTTGCTTCATAATCGTTTGTATTACAAATACTTCAAATTTAAATGTCTATACTCAAATTTTATGAAATATAAGAATTAGTTTGTTTGAAAAGTAATTAAGTAATTGATTTTTTGAAAGGTTATGATTTCTGGTTTTAAAAAACACAAAATATACCTTCAGATTAACATAATCAACTTTACTATATCCTTCTATTTTATATCAACGTATACAATGTTCGATTTAGAAAGAATGTATTTGCATATTTCGTACATATATTTCCTGAAAATTTTGAATTTCAAATAAATTGGATATCGTCATTTTTTATATATGTAGTATATACTTTTAGATTTAGTATATAAATTAGTAATTATAGTGTAATGATTGAAGATATTTTATTTTTGTAATTACACAACGAACTACTTTTTTCTAGTGCGGCGCTAGTATAAGTTTTAATTTAGAATAGTGTCACTCATAAAAAAGTAGTTGGTTTTGTGTAATTATGAAAATTGTCTTCTGTATATCACCATAAACTATATACAAAATAGTATTTATAAATTGTATTATATGAATTTTAATAAGAATATCCAATTTAATAATGTTAATATTCAGAGATTTTAATAGGCATATGAGGGCTGTATATAAAATATTTTACATTTTTAAAGTACATTCACAGTTTTAAAAATATTACTGCTATACAAATTAATTCTTTTTAGATTCTTAAAAGTGCAATATATTCAAAATAAACTAAATTAAAATATCTACTATTGTGAATTTTCTTTTATACGAGTACTAGAATATCTAATTAAAAAAACAAAACGTTTCTAACTCTTATTCATATTTGTATGAAATTAATTTAAGCTCCAATAAATGTGCACATATTTTGTTGATTAATTCTTATTAAGAATTTATATTTTATTTTTTAGATTAATATCCCTATTAATTGATAATGTAATCAGAATTAAGGTGATTTAAAAATGATTCTATATAAAAATTACATCATAATTTCATTAGAATTTTAAGTTCTATGAAAATCAAGCTCAATTTAATGAATTTGTTTTATGTTGAAATTCAAAAGTTTTAATTACGAAATAAATTTTGTTTGTTGTATTGTTTAATAAAGAATTTTTTTTGTTATATGTATAACGTTATCCATATGTGTAATACACATTGTGTATTAATGAAAAAATATACAATAGTTGCATTTTTTTGAAATTTAAGAGTTTGATGATTTCCTTTCGAGGTTACTAATTCTAAAGATTATTTTAAAATGTTTCTAAAGGGCATTGATTAAAAATTCTCAGTTGAAAATTGAAATTTCTTTTAAAAATATCAACAAACAGGAAAAAAAAAGTGATGTTTATTCGCTAATTATGAATTGACATTTTACATTATAAACTACTGGCAACAATATTTTAGCGATTCTGGTTATCCGGATTATCTGACAATGCTGTATACCGTACCGTATTTTTGAAATTTTTCCTAAGATCCAAAACAAAATTTCAAATTGTAATTACAATAACAGAAAAAATTTAAAGAAAATTACAAGAAATTAAAATTAATTGCATTGTTGTGATCTTTTTCATAATAATTTACTTTTGGCACTTTGAGTATCCTTACCAAATTAGAAGTTTCCTATCAGTATTATCATTGAGTAAACTAAAATTTTCTCTCTTAAAAGAGCTTTAATTTTTTTTGTTCGCTTTGAGAATATATAGAAATTTTATAAAAAATAATATAAAACAAAAAATAATTTTTAATATTTTTTCTGAGTTCATTTTATTGTTAACTTATTAACCTTTTGTTTATTTACAATAAAAGATGCTGGTAACAAAATAAAGAAGTACCAGCAGTGCCCGGTTTCAAGTTGTTTTTGTTTTTTTGTATTAGAAATTTAAATTAAATCAATTTTATTGAAAGTTCAATCAAATATTCAATTTTATTGAATATAATGTTGTTTAATAAATTATAAACTCTTAGTTAATTGAAGTCTTTTCCCAACAATATAATGAAAATTTCACAATAATTTAGTGTTTTAATTTCCATGTTTTTTTTTATTACTATATCTGTATATTTTCTTATGAGGATGATAAAAACTGGTTATAAATAAAATTATATAGAAATATTGCTAAAATTAAATTGAAATTAACATCCTGTTTATACAATTTCTTTTCCAAATAATTTTTTATATTGCTTGCTAATTAATTAAAATTTTAATAATAATAATAATTCTCTTTGAAAATTAATAAATTTGTTTTCTAAATTTTGGTATTCAAAATTTCCATTGACTCAAAATTTGTATATTGAAAATTTTATTTTTTATTTTCCTAGAAATTTTTTCTATTGCGGCCTTATGCTAATTTCGAATAGCTATTTATTAAAATTTATTTAAAAAATTATAATTAATTCTAATTTAGTATTTTAAAATGGTTCCCTGACATCTCATCATACGAGACATTTCATCATTGTAACATTTCATCATTGTAACATTTCATCATTATAGCAATTCATCATTGCACATTTCATCATTATAGCAATTCATCATTATTGTATTTCATCACCATTTCATCATTGCATAAAGTGCATTTTGCAAACATAAGTACATGTAGGTGTAATTAAGCAATTAACATACTGAGCAATTTTGGCAACATGTTGAAGCAGTTTGCAGTTTTGTTGCATAGTGCAACTAATGGAACAAAAATTTAAGAGGATTAGGATGTAAAGTAAATTTGTACAGGTAATTAAATTAAAGGACATATTGGTTTCACTAATTTTGGTTACTTATCCTTTTTGCCACGTAAAGGATTGTCCCACAAACAGGCAATTTTGTTTTTTGTTTTTTTTTGACTTTATTTCATATATCTATTATCCCACAACAGAATTCATTACAGTAAAACACAAAGACATTACACATGAAACAAATTTAATGTCGAAACACACAAAAATGTATCAAATCACTTCTTGAAAATATTTCCAACTTTCTGACTCGCCAGGTGCATAGACTCCTGTAAAAAAGGGTTAATAATAAAAAATAACATGACTGACTAGATTAAGTTTTGAGTTTATGGTCTGCTACTGCAAATTAATTAATATTCTCAAGTACTTCATTTTATCCTCTTCATTGTAATACCCCTGTACAGCTGCAATTATCTTATCATTTAATTCCCTATACTTCTTCTTTTTTGGTTGTGGGCGACCATCTTCAGTGATAAAATGTTATGGTGATGAAATACAATAATGATGAATTGCTATAATGATGAAATGTGCAATGATGAATTGCTATAATGATGAAATGTCTCGTATGATGAGGTGTCTGGTCACCTTTTAAAATATAAAATTTATAAAAAATTTAATTAATAATTTTTCTTTTATTTTCATAATTTTTTATTTTAGATCTTACAAGTGAAAAACGTGAACAATGGGTTACATTTACAAGATTTTTAACATATTTAGGATTATGTGTTGCAACATGTGCAATATTTCATAGTTCAACATATTTAGCTGCATTTGTTGGAACAATTGTTGCAATATATATTGCTGTATCAGAATATTGGTTAAATACATTGCCATCTGGTGGTAAACCACCAAAACTTGATACAGAACAATTAGAAGAATTAATTAAGAATTCATTGTAAAAGAAAAATAATTTTATATAACAAAAAAAACAAAAATTCATTTTTATTAAATGAAAACAAAAGTAGAAAAACCAAAATAAATTTTAAGTAGACAATTGAAATACAAAAAAAAAAAAAAAATTAAAAGAAAAATATTAATAATATTTATTAAAATTTTTTTTTTTTTTTTGTTAATAAAATTACAATATTATTAAAGAGAAAAGCAAGAATAAATTTTGTAATATAAATTAAAATTATTAAAATTAAATATGATGTAAAATTTTAATATAATTTTGTTTAAACTTTATATTATGGGTAATTTCTTATCAATTTCTTAACAAAATATATTTAAAATCATTGCTTATTTTACATTTGTAGTATTTAAATCAACTACTTAAAGGATTCATGGCAAATTAATCTCCGAATATGATTTAATTAAATTTTAAAATAAAAATTTCAAATTTAAAATCTGATTTTCTTAAATTTAAATTGCTAAAATTGAACTTGGTACGAAATTACCATATTTTACAACACACTTAGTTTAAAAAAAGTTGCTGCAATAGCTCAATATAGAATTGGAACTGTTGGTCATTTAATGGACCGTAATTCCGTTTCTAAAAGATGAAATGTAATCAGAATTTAATCAAAAAAATTATGTAGTTTCCATTAATATCAAAATATTGTTTTTTAATAAAATTAATGGTAATAACATTTTTCTTTAGCTATTTTAGAACCAACTTTTAGAACGATGGTGTTTTAATGAATCTTCCTTATATGTGAATTTTTAATTTTTAAAATAAATACAAAAACGATTAATAATAACAATGTATTTAATAAATTTGTTAATCTATTCCGATATATTTAAATTCAATATTCTAATTTTTATTAAATTTAAAATTAAAGGAAATTATAAGTTGTAGTTGAATAAATAAAAAATAATTTTTTCCAAAAGATGCACCAAACAAACTTATTCATATAAAAACTCTACTTACTTATAATGAATTCAAAATTTTATATAGTAGACAATTTAATTGTAATAGTAGACAGATTAAAAAAGTTAATTAATAATTAAGAAAATAATTAAATAGAAATCCTTGTTCCATTGTTCTTAATTACAATATAGAATTTATAGCTTTAATCCAATCAGATTTAATTTTTTTTTTTGTGTAAAATATTTTTTGAAAATTTCAAAAAATTAATTTTTTTGTTAATAAAATTAAACCTTGATAATCTTCTAAAAATCTTTTTTCTCAAATATACGATACAACAAATTCATTCTAAATATAAGATAAAATTTTTTAATTAATTTGGACCCATGTTACGTTTTTCTGTAAAATAACTTATAATTTAAATATCTTTTAAATAGAAAATTGAAAAAAAAAACAAATTGTACTCAAATGGGTGCTGTACAATAAGAACAAATGGGTTTTAATAAATTTAAAATTAATATGCTTTTTATCATATTTCATATTTTATAATAATCTAATTCATAGTCATAGTTTTAATTAAAAGAAAAATGCAGCTAAAATTTAATTTAATTGAAAACAAAAAATATTATATTCGAAACATTTATAAATAAATTCTTATAAACGTACATTGAATTTTTTTATAATTAAATACAAAAAAATCGTACACATATTAAAAAATTTTAAATTTTAAGAATTCATTTTGTAAAAAAAACAACAAAAATAATCGATTAAAAATAATATTTATAAAGAAAATAAAATAAATTCGTTTAAAAATTTTTGTTTACATAAAATTTTGTTTTGTATTCAGATTTAATTGCTCAATGAGGAAATAACATATTAGGTCTTATTGTCCTTAAACAACGATCATTAAAATAATATTAGGGTCATATGTGCTCTCTACTGTTTGGTTTTAGACAATTATTATATGTTAAGATTTGGATTATAAATTTTATTTCAAAATTTCATTTCAAATCAATATATTTGGTAAATATTGTTACCTATAAAAATTCTACACAAGATGTACTTCTAAAAGTATTAATAATTTAATTTTCTTTGATGCATTTTTTTGATTTAAAGAAAATATTGAATTATTTGTTAGTTCAGATTTTTTTTAGTTCAATTTGATCAGTATTACTTGTTAGTTCAATTTGATTACGGATAAGAATAAGTAAGACCTTATATTATTAGAAGAGTATTTAAAAGGATAGCCTCTTCTATATCGTTATTGATTGTTGTTTCACTATTATGTTATTTCCATTATAGAATTAAAAATATCATATTTCGTTAAATTTCTAAAAAGTCTTACTTAGCAGAGTGTGGTTTACTAAAACACAGCTATTATACGAATTCATTTTTTAAAATATTGCTTTAAATTTTAAAAAATTTTTGTTAAATATATACAAATCGCGTCAATTTAATACTGAACTTAGGATTTAATTTTCATAATCATAAGATTGACTTACTTTCTTTGCTGTTGTAATACCGTCGGGAAAGTTTATTGTACTTAAAGAAAACTTTTGCTACTTACCTTTATTTTCAAGTTTTGCAATTTGTGTTATTTTTAGTGGCATGACCTTTTCTCTAGTTCATAAACCATTTTAAAATGTGTCTACACCTAAATAAGTTGGAATATATTTAAGGCAAAGTTTTTACATTACTATACCAATTAAGGAGGACAAACATAGATTTAAATAAAATTTTAATGTAATTCGAGCTTTTAATGCTTTATAATCCAAGTTAACTCCTTAGATAAGTGAAGAAAAACTAAATTGCATGCGCAAGATATTGAAAATTGATTTTCAAATAAATTGTTACTGAATTTGTAAATTGATTTTTATTGTTCCTGAATACAAAACTTGTTCAATTTAATGATTCCTTTCTCCAAAAAAAAGATGAAATAACCATATTTAGAAATATTTTATCATTAAAAACTACATAAATAATTTTTATTAATGAATATCCAGTATGTAATAACAAAATCATATTGTTACAGTAGCAAAAAAGAAGAAGTTCATCTTCTCACTTTATACAATACTCTTTTTGTTTACTCGGCTATGTCATCATAATAAAAAATGAAAACGAGAGTTTAATCCTGTGATCACGTAATTTGGATTCATACAAAGTAGCAATACAGAAATTAAAAAATGTTTACAATTTAAGTTGTTGTCACAATATGGAAAGCAAAAATTAAAAATTTTATTGTTATTTCTATATATGTGCATAAATAATTTTTACATTTATACATTCACATACTCCATATATAGATTTAGATAAACGATATACGTGAATTTATGTTTATACTTATATGTATAGTCATTTAAAATCCAAAATGTACAATATTATTTTATAAATATTTTATTGTACATCGTTTTTCTTTTTTTCTTTTTTAATAACTTAATTAAAAAACTTGCATGCCATCAACAAGTTACAACTTTTTAATTGTAAACGGTATATAGTATAGTGCAAAATACGGTAAAGAAATAAAATTTTACTTTCACTAACAAAATACTCTATAGTCTCTATACAATACAGTATGTGCATGTTATACGCGCACTATGTTACGATTTTACTATAAAAAAAATGTTAGTTTTAACCCTTTATTTATTAAGGACGCTAATTAGATTTTAACAAGTGAGATATTTATGGTTTTTTACTTATGCTTATGACTGTGAACAGCAACGGAAAAAATATTTCCATTGTTAATGCAGAACAACAGCAGAACGAAAACTTTTCTGTATTTTGCATTAAGTGTCACACACATGGCAAAACAGATGATGTAATAAAAAACTACTAGCGATAAAATAGGAATTTAGGCTAAAATAGGAAATACTCGTATTTGTATTCCATATGAATTTTGAAAATTCGCCGTAAAAAATCGCTCTTGTTCGGTTTTCAACTCAATGTGGGATTTATTGTGTTTTAAGTTTTTTGATACCATGTAGCATGTATACAAGTCTTATAACTAGTCTCATTTAAATTTTGTATTTAATTGATTTGAGCTTGAATATCGTAATTACCATATTTAAGCTGAAATATTCATTTACAATTACAATTTATTGCTGATATTTCCTTTGCTTCTATAATTTATTGTTAGTAATGCTGTTCAGTGTGTTTTATAAGTTAAATTATTATGTTTATAATACAGTAACGGTATTACGACAAATGTTTTTCTATTCACAATCATAAAATTTCTTCAACAATATCCATTAAAATTTTTCCAGTACAGAAAGGGGTTAAATGAAATTTTTTTAATTTATAAATGGAAATTATACTTTCGGTTGCAGTTATTATGTATTAAGAATATTATTATTTATTGCATATTTATTAAAAATTCATTTCCTTATTGTATATATGTACTACATTATATCGTGAATAAAACTACTAAACAGTTATACAGTTTGTATATTTTTAATTGGTTTTATATATTAGCTGTTATTGGTATTTATTATGTTATTTTTGACCTATACGGTAGAAAAATATAATTATAGCTATATATACTCGCATATAACAGTGTAATAATAATGAATAGACAAAAAGATATATTTTGGGGTTCGGGGGAATTTTGCTGCTTTTTTAATTTGAAAATTTGAATTCAAATTCATTTTACGTGATTTAAATTTTAAAATTTATTTTTAAATTTCATTTTTGGTAGACTGGGAATTTGGTTTTTTTTTCTTCTATTTTTCATTTATTTTATAATAGATTATGTTGAATTAATTAAAATTCTTATAATGTATTAACATTAAAATTTTAATAAACTAATTTGTATTTTTTTTTTCTTTTTCGATTTTTGGAAATTAAAATATTAATATAATTTGGTAGTATAAGTGGAAAACATGTGAAACTTTGCGTTTATGAGAGCATTGTTTGTCAGATTTTTTTGCATTAATGTCATCCAAGTTCTTATATGGATTAACTGGTATTACAATTGAAGCATTACCATTCATATCATTGTGTATCTGAGGGTTAATAATTCCTGTATATAATTCCTATAAATTGATTTTAATTGATAATTACTTTAAGGATTGTTATACGTTATTAACTCGAATACTTGGATTAATTAACAAAGTATGTGTATGTAATTCAATCCCGTTATATGTATATATTTTATTGCTGTTTCTTTGGGATCATGCCCAATGTCCGGCCAATTTATTGAGGTAAGTTTTATACTATGTACATTAATATTATATAACAACTAATTAATGAATGAAATATTTTTTGAAAATATTTAAATTTTAAAATTTAAAATTTAATTTATAATTTGAATATTTCGAAATTATATATGCAGCTATGTAGAAATAAATATATATTATATATTGAGTTAATAATCAGAATACAATATATTTTAATTCACATTATCCCTAATATATTGATAATATACTAGTACCAATAGCTATATAACATTAAAATTTGTTATATAATTTATGCTAATTCTTATAATAATGCAAAGATATTAATTAAAGAACCGTCTTAATTAAAAAAATAAGGCTTAAAATTAAACAAACCACGACAGAATTAAAAAAACTCTAATTTTTATTACTAATTCATCTGTATGTTCTTGACTCTTCTTCAATTAAAATAAATACAAGTTATAAGTATTTTTTATAATTTAACCCATAATTATTTACTATATACTAGTATATAATATGAATCATAATAATTAAAGGGTATTACCATTGTTTAATTGTCTTCTGTATATAGCACTATAATTTTATATGCACAATGATATTACTCAAAATTATTACTCCTTTGTTACATTGCTCAGTAAATTGGTATATTCCTTAAATATCACATGAACAATATGCGAATACAAATGAAGTAACGCAAAACTAGAGCAATGAGCAAAAAAATGAGCAAACCCATGAGCTTAAAATAAATATTTGAAAAATTTAAAATCTTCTGTGTAAGAATTTATGTGAAGTGTCAGAAAACTAAATAATTAAATTTTAATAAATTAAATTTTTGTATAGTAAAATTATATACTCGTATAAAAAACTAATGAAGTAACATTAAAAGTATCAATTAAATGTGCTATTCGGAAGATGTCTGCTAAATGATGCCTGTTATATATAATGCCTGTTATAAAATCATGACATATTTCACGTTTCCGACGACAATTTATTATAATAATAATATCGTGTAATAAGCTATAATAACGTGTAATACTAATATCGTAAAATTTTTTCTGTGTATGTATTGAAACTTTTGTTTAAATAAGTTGCCTATATAAATGCTCGGAAATGAAAGATTTTTCTCTTAATTTAAAAATGAAGTCACAATGAATTGATCAATATTGCCAGCACACAGTTTTGTTTTTTTTTTTCATAAACACTATAGCTCTCTTCTAAATTTCCGATATATTGCCAATTTTTTATAGTAAATATTCGATTTTAAACTACTTTATGATTTTTTTTTTCCACATCTGCTTTAATCTTCTCTTCTCTTTTTTTACATAAATTTTATATAAAAAAAAAATTTACATTTATATACATTATATAATTACATTATATACAGTATATTTTAATTAACTTACATTTTAAAATAAAAACAAAATAAAAAAAAAATTAAATTAAAAAAAAAACAAAATAATAAAAAAGGATTCAAAATTTTTTTTTTAATTTTTCACATTTTTTTTTAAATTTTGATTTTAATTTCTTCCAATTTGATCAATTTGTGATTGTAAATTATTAATAACTTCTTCCGGTACTTGATCACCTAATATTTGAAATAAATTAATTCTTTGATTTCCGGGAATTTGTTCATATGCACCCAATTCGATACCTTCTTGTACTTGTTGTATTTGTGCATCTTTTGGTATTAAAAATGTTTGTTGTGCTTGTCTTATTGCTTCATTTGTATATGCGGCACCTTCACGTTGTGGCATTGCTAAACAATAGCTAATTGTAATAATTATTGTTATAAAAAATGTTATTATAGATTTCATATTTGTTTTAATATTTTTGCTTTTGATTTTATTATTTAATATCGTAAATTAATATCGTAAAATTATTATTTTATTTGTTTTTGTTTTGTAGTTCAATTTTTAATTGATTATTTAAATTTTAATTTTCTATTGGCCACAATTTTAATTAATCTGTTATACACTTTTACGATATTGTTATATAATATATTCAATTACAATTTTATTTAAATTTTTTTTTTTTCGTTTTTTTTTTATAATTTTATATTTTTATTTAAATTTTATATTTATGGTAACAACACGATGACTTCTTTTAACTGAATGTTATAAATTTTTAATTTAAACCATTACTTATATATTTTCCCCACTGTATGTTGGCTACCATATAATGGGTAGTAAAATGAAAAGGTATAATAAAAACAAAAAAAAGAGAATCAAAAACAAAAATCAAAATGTAACCAACTTTGACACAAGAGTATCACCTCTTCACTATAATAATTTTTTTAGGTTTTTTTTTTGTTTCGAATTTTTATTTCTTTCTTAGCGGTGCAATAATTTAGTTTTCTTCTTTTGACCTCATTGTATACAATAAGGAAGGTGATATGATGGCACCAAATTTCGGATGTCGAATTTTTGAGGGAAATGTATACATCTCAGTGGACATCGCAGTGGAAAATTTTTAGAGAGATGTTTCTTGTTCATTTTTAGAGAATCTGTGCAGATCAGTATCCCAAGTTCGACTGAACCGATTTTCACCAAAATTTATATTTGAGCTTACTTTGAAGATGAAACGGTTTGATCAACTAATTGCAATATTTCAGGTCTCGAGAACTGGGTCTTTATTATGACCTTTTTAAAGAAATAATCAACGAATTTTCATGAACTTTCATATATAAGCTTTGTCCGATAGTATCTGACTTTTATAAAAAATCAGGTTTAAACAATTGGCGCATTTTCTAAGGCGGAAATTTGCATTTTTGCGTATATATGGAAAAATAATTTAGTGATTTACTTGAAATTTAATATTTGAGTTCTGTTTGCTACTAGAAGTAATTGACGAACTTTTCAGAGTAAATTCGGATAGTGTAAAGACGTAATCTCTACTAAGAGCCATATTTACGTTTTTCTAGGTATATTTCTATAGACATAAAAAAACTAACTAGCGGCTTTAGTTATTTGGGAGGAGTATTTCAAGTTTATTTTCATAATCTTGTGCAATATTGCCTCTAAACAAGAAAATACGCCTTGCGATCGTTTATGTGCTGGCCACATCAAATTTTTTTCCGTCTTCGTATTCCGTTCATATTTACAAAGAAAATAAATTTGTAATAAAAAAAAAAAATTAAAAAAATCTGCATCAGGTTTTTGTTTTTATTTTCTTTTTTCTTGTTTTTTTTTTTTATTATAACAATAAATTTTCATACGATTTTCAATTTTCAAATTTATTGTTAATAATAATCGTAAGTATTTGTTAAAACCACCTTCAATTCATTGTAAATTCAATTGTGAATTTTTATGTTTATAGACGTGCATTGTATATGGAAGTATGTAGTTATGTATAAAGTTTTATTAAATGATTGTAAATTATAATTTTTCAATAAAATAATAACAGGTATTATAATTTTTATACATACATGTAATGTAAATGTTCATCTTTTGTATTCACTTTATATTTGGTATAAAGATTTTCATCTTTCACTTTGTAGCGCCTTTTAATTATTATTGCATGTATCTGCATTAAATTTGTTTAAATTGCACCGGTTAATGTAAACTAATTTAAAAAATTTTAGATACAAACCAATTTAAAAGTGAAATAATTTGCAATTAAGTGGTAGGAAATATGTGGTTTTCATCATTGCCTACATCACCTTCATATCTATAGATTCTTCACAAATTACATTATAGTAGCCTTTAACCCGCAACATCTCATGTGGAAGTGAGCCGTCGTTTTGTATTCGCACAACAGATGCTGTACCGTTTCTTCTTCCAGTTAAAGACGGCAGACCCCGCTTCCTGTTTCACCTATCATTATCCCATTCCCAGATTCTGAGTAAGTATAAGTTTTATGGAGTGAATCGATTATTAGAAAATGTAGGAAATTTTTCTAGTAGTCGAATCTTGTCGGCTTCTTACAGTCGTTCAGAGCGTACAGGAGTATTTTATATCCACCATTTTTAAATTTTAATATTTAATAAACTAAAATGTTGCCAGATTTCCTTGAGTCCTGGCCTTACACATAATATGTTCTTTTTGGTACATTCACTAAAATTCTCATTTGAAAAACCAGCTATACATTCGTCTCTGTTATCAAAACAAAAAAAAAAGAGTACCAGTAAGTTATGACGAATCCAAAAATGAAGATACAAATTTTATAAAATTTTCGAGGAACACTTAATATTTTCTTGTAGGGGTGCGAATATTTCTGAAATACACTATTATTTTATAGTTATACTTTTGAACTGTATATAATATTTTTATTATAAAATTTTTATATTTTATATTTAAAAAAATATTTTAATGAATGGGCAATCCATATTTCATATTTTGCATTCGTTTTTTAAATGTTATACATAAAATTTTATGTATTATGTTATAAATACAGTTTTAAGTGGAAAACTTAATTCAGAATCAAACAATTCTGTTATATAAAAGTTTCAAGTAAACTGAAGTATTATATTTGTCTTAAGAAGAATAAAGCTACGCATAACATAAATAAATTCAAATTCGAATTCATTTATGAAAAAATTTGTTCCTAAATTTATTTTTTTCCTTTTCCATTTCTAGGAGAAGCATAGGACTAGTGCATGATATCATAAACTCATGCCCTAGTTTCATTACGTCATAAAGTTTAAACTAGATAGCAGACTAGCTTTCTGTATAGTTCCTAAATTAATTTTAACAAATTGATGTTTATTATGTCCAAACTTTGATTTTGCCACTTGTCATCAATTATATCAAAATATTTTCGGCCATTATTATAAAGCCACTGAAAAATACATTCAATTTTTTGAAAATTTTAATTACAAATTACGACGTAATAGGTAATATGCATACGACATATATAGAAACGACTGCAGCGCCATAACGCAATGATTATGATATAAGATTTAATTCATTTATTTTTGTAATACTTACAAAATGAGATTGCCCTTAAAGACCAGACCATAAGCAAGCAAATATCATAACACTTTTTTTTTTTATTTTGTGCTATTTTAATTTTTTGTCATATCAACTCTTTCTTTTCATCTTAAAATATTTCTGTCATTGGTGATGTTAATTTTATTATTGTTGTTATTTTTATTATTATTATGAAAATTATTAAAGAAAAAAAAATATCGAATTTCATTTATTGACTTTCCCTAATTCCCCACATATGATTTTGACGTGATAACAACGTGTTTTATTTAAAATTTTTTTTTTGGTTTTTGTATTTGACTCCTGAATTTTTTATTTATTTTTTTTTTTTTAATGAGAAAATGAAAAACAAAACACGCAATGATTTTAAATTTTTTTTTTGTTTTTTTATTGATTGAGGTTTTTACTTGTTGCATATACTTGAAAAGTGAGAATTGTGATTTAAAGGGAAATTGGATTAAAAGTGATGATTAAACCAGATGGCAATTTTAATGGTACCCTGATAACTGTTGGAAACCTACATATTATAAACCTTTAATTAAAATGTGCATCAGTTGTTTTTAATTTTCTATTTTAGTGTATAAGTAAACAATATCGAAGATAATGTTATACAGTATGTAGATGTGTTGCATATATTGAATTAATGTTATACAAGCATATGTTGGATCTAATAACAAAGATGATTTCATGTTGTGAGGTAGAAATTTGTCGGATTATTAAGCAAGAAATTTGATTGTGATGCAATTAATTATAAAACTGTTATATAAATTTTAGAATATTTTAAGATTTATAAGGCAAGTATTTAAATTAGAATGAAAATATATTAAGGAATTGAATTGTTAAAGCTCAATATTTTCTATTTTTATATAACGAGATCTAGAGTAATTTTCATATGTATTTGTAATGAAAATGAGCACAAACAACTAATTAATGAAATAGAAAATATTGTTTTTGAAATAAGAAAAAGCAGAACTTGTTTAATAAAAATTTTATGCTATAAACCTTATATTTGAACCTTATAACCTTAATTTAAATTTAATTGCAATTTAAATTGTAATCTATACCCTTATGTTTTCCTTTATATTTGACCTTTTGGCCTTTTTATATGTACATATAAAATCTCAATATTTTTTAAATAATTTGATCCTACATTGCAGTCTTCGAATGTCTTGATAATTGAAGTTAAAGAGAAAATATTCAACTTTATGTTGACCTATAGTTGAAGAAAAAGTGTTGTTTACATTTAATTTTCAAAATAATAGTGTTAGTGTTCGGAAAATATAAAAAAATTCAATACAATTGCGTTAAAATAATTAAATAAATTCTTTATTCCCAAATTCTTACACTTAAAGCTCTTCTCTTTAATTTTTATTTCTCCAGTTATAGATCTTAGATTTAGAGTTATAGTTTAGAACAAGTAACATAATCAGTATAGTTCTATTCTTACTTCCCTTGGGAATATAGGACTTCCGCTTGATATTTCCATCAGGTTCTTGATCTGTTGGCTTCTTTCTTAACTTAATCCCATGCCAAACATGTGCTTTCTAGTTTCGGTCTTACAAATTTACGCCAAGTATTTCTGGGGCGACCAGTCTTTCTTGATCCTTGTGGATTCCACTCTAAACTCATTCGGGAAATGTTACTTATAGATTTCCTTAGGGTTTTTTCCATTCACCTATACTTTTTTCTTTGTATTTGCTTGTCGATAATTTTCTCGTCTGTTATTATCCCGAGCTTCGACGAAATCGTTTTCGGCCAGAATATTTCGCATATCTTTCTGTGGCCTCTGTTGATGAGTATAATCAAAAGAATTTACCGTTCCCAATTATAGCCGAGTATATAGGTTTAAAACTGATTTTAAATTTTTATATAAGATGCTTGTATAGTTATTGTGCCTTTTCTATTTCATTACTATACTAGATCATAGTTCTAACTAATTTGATGCATACTATATATTTAAACAGAATTATGATAGAAAAAATATAGAATTAAGTTCAATAAAGCCTACTAAAATTTCAAGAGTTTTTAACACAAAAAATGCCCAGTACGTACATACATTGTAATTTTTTTTACATGTACATAGTAAAACTAAAATATTCACAAATATTATAAGTGCTTTTATTTCCAAAAAAAAAAAAATCAGTTCAAATTCGAGG